ACACACACACACACACACACACACACACACACACACACACACACACACACACACACACACACACACACACACACACACGCACGCACGCACCCGCACACACATCTATAAATGTTATTGCAGCGCGGCGGATTAACGACGGCCAAATGCACCGCATTAGAAAAGACATGCAGACAGGGCAAAGCAAACCATGAGGCACAATGCGAGCGACGCTCTCGCGAAAACAACGTTCTCCCAAATACTTTCGCCGCTGCACTCAAAATGTCTCCCTTGCTCATGTAGGCCACTTTAGAATAATAATAATACAAAAAAACCGTTAATTTTAAACGACGACGAACGAGCGCGCACATCATCGGGACATCAAACACAATTTCCTCGCTATTCACGACGATGACGACGTCGTTCGTCGATTCCTCTCACCCTGCTATATACACCTGCATTCCGAACGTCGCACGCGATTTATTTTTGCGATTATAACGATGCAATTATTGCACGCAGTCCCACAGTGGTGGCACCGCCCACAGCAAACCTCCCGTTCGTCACACACTGGCTACGTTGTGCTGACACGGCAATGCTTACCCTTTCCTTGGCTGCTATTAGTGGCTGTTAAACCCGCTTATTGGAGCCTCGTCAATAAATCGTTTACGGCGACACGAACTCTGGCGACGAGGCAGCGACCAATCAGCGTGCGGCGCGCAGGTTACGGGCGGCAGGTAATTTGCTTGCCGTGCGATCGGCGATGCGCCGCCGCGCTGCAAACTCGTGTTTAACATATTACACGGAGCGTCGCGTGTAGCGGGGCGTCGGTACAACCCGCGAATACAGGTAGAGAGAGAGAGAGGGAGAGAGAGAGAGAGAGAGCGGGGTGCATGATCCGCATTCGTCAGTAGAACCTGTAACGCGCGCTGAAAGCTGCGCGTTTCCTCTCACCTAATCGTAAGCTGAAGTAGAGAGAAAGAGAGAGAGAGAGAGAGAGAGAGAGAGAAAGAGAGATAGAGAAAGGAGTGGCTGCGATAGAGAACTCATATCAGACGTTATAATTGACGCCTAATCGCCAGTTCTATTACAAACCACGTTTATATTGTGATCGCGACGGACGGAGTCAACGACTGACGTTGATACACGAGCGCGTGAGAGAGGAGAACTGTAACAACGCGAGACTTCGTTGCTGGATTCGTCCGTGGATAAAAAGAGAGACGGGTTCGTCGTTGAAGACAGAGGCGAGAGCGCAAGAGTGAAAGAGGGCAAGCGAGAAAAAGTGTAAAATAAGCAGCGAGCGAGAAGGAGAAAGAAAGAGAGAGAGAAAGACAGCGAGAAAGAGAGAGAGAGAGAGAGAGAGAGAGAGAGAGAGAGAGAGAGAGAGAAAACAACAAGAGAAAGAGAGACAGACAGAGAGAGGGTGAGTGAAAAAAAGAACGAAAGAAAGAGGAGGAGCGTGGTGCAACTGATGTCCGAACCCCGCACACACTCTGCGCACACATAAACTTCGCATGGTCGTACACCAGCACTCGCCACCTTCGCTCGCTGCCAGCATGTCTCTGCACGTGCAGCCGCCGCCGCCGCCGCAGCAGCAGCAGAGCAAGCCCAAAGTTGGCTTCAGCATCGAATCGATAATGAAGGACACCTGTCGGTCGTCGGCCGGCGACAGGACGACACCTAGCGGCGTCTCCCCGCCCGCGTCGTCGCAGCCGCGGCGGGCCGGCGACGTGTCTCCGCTGTACGGAAAGAGACGCCACAGAAGCGTCTCCCCTGCGGATCGGCGGACGTCGCTTTCGCCGGAGTTGGCACCGTGCCAGCCGTCGCCGACGAGCGACGTATCGCCGCTGCGCAGATCCGACATGAGTCCCGTGTCGTCGGCGCGACTCAACCTCGCGCCGCAGGAACTGACGACGTCGTCGTCGTCGTCGTCGGCGCAAGTACATCAGTTCCTCAGCAGTCTCTACCACGCGAAGAGCGCCTACCCGGGCGGTGTCCCCGGCGCGCTCGCCGGTCACGTGGGAAGAGGCGGATATCCGGCGGGGCAGGCCCTGCACGGGCCACTAGCCGCGCATCCGTACATGTTACCGCAGCAATATCCGCCGTCACACCTGTCGCAGTACACGTGGCTTCTTGCGCGACAAGGTAGATTCTACGGACATCCACTCTCAGGTAAATATATAAACCCCCGTCTTCCCGTGTGTCTTGGTGTAGGTAACGTAAGTGAAAATAATAGTATAGCTTAAGTACATTTATAACATGCTTTCAACGTATGTAACGTGGGTGAAAATCATATTGGATGTATAGTTTGTGTGCATTTATAATATGCTTTTAACGTAGGTAACGTAGTTAAAAATAATAGTAGATGTATAGTTTGAGTACATTTATTATATACTTTTAATTGTCGTCTGATATTATGAACGCGCCCGTTTCGTTTAGCTGAAGTAACATTTTAATATTTATATTAGGTAATTAAATTATATTGAGTAATTATTAAAGTAATTACATTTTATAATTCCCTATTTATACATGGTAATTCGAATCCGTAATAACATGTTTTTATGTTACGTACGGGTTTTCTCCCGCTACCTTCCGCTTTCTATTTATTTATTGATGTATTTATTGATAACAATTTCTATAGCATGCATGCCCTCAATTGTAGATAATAACATAATGTGAATGTGGTTATATATATATATATATGAATATCCACTCTCGCTATTATTATGTAGACGAGTTCAGACTGTAGATAATCCAGAACATATTCATGCAGAACAGCCGCGAGGGTAAACACCTCTTTAAATTCCTGCATGATGTATGATTTGCCGAGACTGTATACCGATATTACGTGACATATAATTTCAACGATTCTAAATAGTATATATATCACGCTTTATATGTGCCCAGGAATTTCGATTAGCGGTGAGTAATTGATAACGTGGTCTTCGAAATTGTTCGTGAGGCGAATTCTAAACGACTTAATGAACAGTCGTAGGCAGTTCATTCTTAATGTTGCACCGTATCAAGAGTAGATAATAGGGAACCCCTATTCCTATCCCTCCCGTTCCTATTCCTACCCCTATTCCTATCCTCCCGTTCCCTATTATCTACTCCTGACCGTATTTATGTACAGAAAATTACCTGTGCAAACACAATGGAGTAAACAAGCCATTTATACAGTGTACAATGAAAACCCGTCCTTAATTAACAAGAAAGAACACGCAATAAAAGAAAACATCCGGAGATATATTTCTTTCTAGTGAGAATACGTACGCGTGACTGCGTGCCCGTGCGTCTATGTGTACGTGCGTTATATTTCCAGACGTTTCCTGGCCAATAAGAAATTTTATTATGTTTATGTAATGGTACTTGGTCAGGAATCTACGCAAAGTTAAGTTCAGTTAAATTATGTCAAGTTAAGTTAAGCTAAGTTAAGTTAAGCTAAGTTAAGTTAAGCTAAGTTAAGTTAAGCTAAGTTAAGTTAAGAACGTTAAGTTATGGTATGTTACGTTAAGTTAAATTAAGTTAAAGTTCGCGATCTTGACGTGTTAGCTCGACTATGGCCCATACTCGCAGCCCCCGTCACGACGCCACGCTATGTGTTCGCAGGTGCCGAAAACGTCGGCTATTTCTTCCCGCCCGCCTACCGCAAACCGAAGCGAGTCCGTACGGCATTCAACCCGTCCCAGCTACTCGAGTTGGAACACGCGTTCGAAAAGAACCACTACGTAGTCGGCGCCGAGAGACGAGAGCTAGCGAAATCCCTGTCGCTCTCAGAAACACAAGTAAGCATAGGTGTCGCTCGTGTAGGTGAGAGTTCGTGATGACGCAGCGGTTTCGATTCGAATTATCCCCCCTATTTAAAATTTGTTTTTGCTCCCAATGAAAAACGTTCGTAATTAGCGTGTTTTTATCTGCGTAAGTATAGTGTCTAGGTTAACGACGAAATTAGTATCCGGAAATCAAACGTTTATCGTGTACACAATCTAATCATTGTTGTATGCCATATACTAACAGTTTTTTTCGAAGGTAAATGTGAAATGAGCGAATATAAAATTATCTGGCCTTCGTGGAAAACTTTACGTCTGATATTATTATTTCGGGAATATATTTAGTGTTTATAATACATTATTTTTTACGATTTTAACTTTCATTTGACTTAGTCATTACATTTTATTGCAATCTTGTCAGGAGTGTCATGATATAGATCGTCATACCATAGTCATCTATATTATGACACTCCTGATCTTATTAGGTCAATTCTATACCCATCTTACAGTTAAATAAAATCGTGCAATTTCGGCAATATCCTCGTTGCGGTAGATTTCCATCCCAAATCACAAAAAAAATATCAGTTATATCCCGATTCCAAGATAATTAAAATAATCCGATAGATACCGCGTCCCGAAACTAGCGGTTCCTCCTTTTATTTACGACATCATCTTTAGCTTGCATCTGACTTAGCTATTTATTAGAGCATTATTATGTCCATTATATAACAATTTGTTAGAGTTGCACATGCGCGACATGCAAGAGGAGGTTAAATTATCCACAGATCGATGTGTGGAATCTTCGCGTTTATCGACACTTCCTGTCCGGAAAGTTAACTTAAATTAATGGAGTTTTTTTTAAAAGACTCAGATCATTACCGAATAATTGCAGGATTATCAATCATGTAGCCTCACTGAGACCTTTGATCGTTTATAAAGTCTAGTGACTCTACCAAAACACAGGAAGCGTTTTTTTGAGAAGAGTGTCACAGGAAGAGTGTCACATTAAAAAATCTACCTTACTTCAGCGTAAAAACCATTTATCAGCGCAAATTTGTAATCGACTTAAAGCGAAGCGCAAGAGTATATATATATATATAATATTGATATTGGATGACCACCATAACCCAGTGAATTTATAATGCGTGATTATGGAAGATGTAACAACCGTAAACACCGATAACAATAAACAATAACACGTCGTCAAAACAACAACGACAGCAAGCGACGACATAAACGAACGGTGACAAACGACTGACATACAGCGCTCGCGCCGCACACATTCGCGTTTAACCTGTCGCGGAATGTCCACCGCCGCTACCAAATATTGCGTTACATTAGCTAGCTGCGGCAGGTAAGCGCGTGGTGGGACAAATTATCGCGGTTTTTATGCGGTTCACGGTGTTTGTTCTTTACGGCTTTCTTCTACGATCGCAAGCTCGCGGAGAATATCGAGTCATCTACGATCATTAAGGTCGTCGTAGATTTATTATTGTTTGTCGAGGTGCGCCGAACACTCTCCGTCTCTCTCTCTCTCTCGCTTTCTCTCGCTCTCTCTCTCTCTCTCTCTCTCTCTCTCTCTCTCTCTCTCTCTCTCTTGTCTGAGTGGTGTATATAGGCCCACCCGAGAGCCCGATGACACTCATCGAAGGAAAACAGTTTAGCGAGAGCAGAACCACAATTTGTCTCGGAGCCGTCGTCGGTCGTGTATGAGCTATACGCGCGCGAACGATGAATTATGGCCCGGTACCTTCGCGTCGCCATGGCAACCGTATTGTTGGCACGCATCGGTGATTAAGTGGTCTGATCGCGCGGGTGGCGACTGTTCATCATAGCGACTAATTAGTCTAAACAAAGCTGTGTATATATATATATATATATATATGTACAGCTTCGTATATATATATACATATAGGTAGCTAATCGTCGACAAACTGATACATTAGCGGAAAAAATGCCGCAGCGGGGCGTTCCATATTCTCGCACCGTTGTTTACTAATAGCTGTCATAAATAGGTTAACTTTAAAAAAATCATCCTTTGGGAAATTAGCATTATCGAGTTCTATAGGCAGACGAGAATGGGACGAGCACGTCGGTTCGTTATTTTATTGTCTGCATTGATTGCCGCGTCCGCAGGCGAATCGCATATGAGGTAAAAAGTTCGAACGATAAATCGCCGTCTTTGTTCTGGGAAAACGTATGGGTAATTTCCATCGACCCGTTTTGCTATAAACAATTACGTAGCGTGCATTCCACGGTGGCGGAAACAAAGGCAGGTCATCGCTTCGCCGTCTGAGTTCATATTCGGGATTACAAACGTTTTGTAAATGCGTTTTAGACGACGTTGCGCCTTAAAAATCGCGCATTTGCGAGAAGAATTTTTTTTGCCTTTTCGAAATATCATTCTAGGTTTCAAGCTCAGTACGAGAAACGAAATCTCGTTTGCATTATATTTTCTGTTTTTTATTATTTTATTTACTGGCGTGATGTAATCACGCGTGATTACAAGCATGTTAGCGAACCTTCTCGCAGATAGCATCAGCAAACATATGCCAGCAATAATTCAGAACACTTACCTAACTAGTAATAGCTAATAACTAGTAACCAAGTAGTCTAGTAGGTAGTAGTAGCTACCCTAAAAATAGCTAGTAATAGGAGCGTTCTAATAATTTCTCGCTCTCTCTCTTATTCTCTCTATCACTCTCGCTCTCTCTCTCTCTCTCTCTCTCTCTCTCTCTCTTCTCTCTCTCTCTTCTCTCTCTCTCTCTCTCTCTTCTCTCTCTCTCTCTCTCTCTGCTATTGAACTGCAGGGGTCCGTACATAAAATAGACGACTCAAATGCGCGCCAACAGTTGCTAAATTACATGTTGCGCGCTTATTTTGGCATAATAACAAATGCAGTAATAAATAAACGATATTTGATAATTGAGCGAATATAAACGACATATTAACGATATATATACGTATGCGTATACGTATATTACATATACGTGCATAATACCGTAATTTAACCGTGATAGGTAAGCAAAAACACGAATAATGATAGTTTAGCGACTTCATGCATCTTGTACACATTATATATTTCTTGGCTCTTTCTTGGAAATTAGTATATAATGCGCCCAGTAATGAGCAGCGATACATGAAACAAAGAGGCCCCTATATCAGAACTTGTTAATGTAGAACGTGTTATACGTAGAACGCCATGTCATATTTTATTGTACAAAATAGTGGATTTGGGTCGGTTTTTGGGTTAGCCGCCAGAAGAGAGGTGATGACCGGAAATGTACACATGAGGAAATGCCTCACCGTTGTATAAATCTCTACATACAAGGCTATAGCAGATGAAAGCAGGGAGAAAGTTAAGGAAGCTTTAGTGGTCTCTAATATTCGGAAACATAACTTGTAGCGGAACTGTCGCTCGCACGATTTAACATAAGCTTTTCAGAGCGATGAGAAATAACACTATATATTTATTATTTCGCTACCGAAATTATTAAAATAATATAACGCAATAAACCCGAAGGAAGTGTTAATTTCATTGGGATGCGACAGTTTTTGGAAAACCTTCTATTTATGACATTTTAACGTTTAACATTTACTACACATGGCAGTTTTTATTCGGCTTTATTATTCAGTAATGTATCGATAAGTGTATGAAAATAAATCATTAGATATATCCGAATAAAGTCAAATGTATTATAATGCGCACTAATCGCCGGTGGTTGGACAGAATTCCGTAAACGCACAAATATATCTGTATACGTGCAAAAAATCTATAGGCCTACCTGCGCAATCATATCACGAGATGACAGCACCACTCGATACGAACCAAATTTTAACTGTCTCGAAAATTCGCTGGTGCTTTTTAAGCGGTAATAAAACTCGAGCGCGCAAATCAGTCTTGCGCATGCGCGTTGACACGATTCTGATCATCTCGCGCGTGACGTATTATTTCCCGTATTTGTTCCAAGAAACTAATATGGCGCGTGAAGGAAAGACAAGCGAAGGACGGCCATAGTGAGAGATGGCGACGCTAGTCTGGTTGAAAACGCGCAATCGTATCCGCGCAATGTGATACGGGGATGGTGATGATGATAATGATGATGATGATGATGATGATGATGATGATGGTAATGATGATGGTGATGACGATGATAATGATGATGGTGTTGATAATGATGATGACGACGGCGACGATGGTAATGATGATGGTGTTGTTGTTGTTGATGTTGACGATGATGATGATTATGATGATGATGATGATGATGATGATGATGACGACGACGACGATGATGATTTAATTTCGCACGCGTTCGGATTTACGTCGCTTTAGCGTTCATTCTCGTTTGCGATGTTGTCATTTTTGATTGATGCCGTACACACATCGTACGCCTAGTCAGTTTATCGGCAGCAGCATTAACACGTATACACGCGCACGGCAGACACGCATACGGAGTGTAGAACCGAAAACGGTTCGTCACGTCTCGTGTCTTCGCGATACCCCGGCGTCTTAGGCAGCGCAGATGGCGCTCGTGTTTAGAATTTAATAACGTCTGCAATTTAATAATGTTTGCGATATTTTTTCTCTGCGGTCTGTTTTGCGATGCGTCGCGCGTTGCAAGCTGCCAGTCAGAACACTGTTATAACCTGGCCGGTGTACGAAATGCACATGTTAATGTCGGTAATGAATTTGTTTCTGAGGAGTGTGCATGTGTTGTTAATGTCTATAGCGCGGCGGTTCGCTTTACTCCTGTCATAAGAGGTGCGCACCCCGTGACTCGCACGAATAATGAACGTATTTCTATTCGACGTATTTCTCGTGGCTATAAAACCGATCTTCGACATTCGTTTACTTTTCTGTTTTCTGCTTTTGTCAGAGCTCACGCCCCCCTTGTATAGCTGCGCACGTAGAGAAATAATATAGACGTCGTTTTCGAATGACTTTCATGCCGATGCCGTCCGCATTTTGTTGTTATAGTATATACCGATGTCAAGTGGATTTTTTTCAGTGTGGGGCACACATGCAACAAGTCTTCGGGCAGGTTTCATTGTGTAGAGTTCGGTGATAAATAGCCGAAGCTACCTTCCATTCAAGGCTCGTTGATTTACGACGCATTTTGTTCGCCTAATGTCCGGTTTTAAATTTTAAACTATTAGCATTAAAGTCCCATGCGAGTGTCATTAGTTAGTTTAATGGCAGCGTCAGACTGCACGGAACTCGCTCGGGGGGTTAGTTTTCGGAGATATGCCGGGCGCCGCGAGTCAAAAGCACAGGGCATGGAACTTCTGTAAGCGCGTGTACACGGGGCCGTGTGCGTGCGTGCGCGCGCTGTGGATTGATATATTGTTGACAGAGTGCGCTTTAGGCATATCATTAGTGGCGCGCACACGGAGCCGCGTTCAACTTATTCGAGATTTTTATGTAACGCGAGAAGAGGCGAACGCGCTGTCGAATGTCGCTGTGCAAGCACGATCGTCGTTATGATCACGTGATGGTTACGCAATAGACGCGTCTCCCGTTACGTTCGAAACACGCGAGAAGAAAAGCTAATCAATTGCGCGAGAACGCGCGAATAATTTTCTCTCTAAGAATCTTTTAATCGATTAACACTCAAGAATAGAATGCTATGTGAAGGGAAACGGGATGGGAGTTTCACTGACAATGTCCTAGGTAAAATACATGCCATTTCCCAGTTTCTAGTTAAATAAAATCACAATAAAAACTTGCATTTCCGAATCACGAAAATTTTATCCGGTATGTCCCGGTTCTCAGATCAATAAAATAGATCAGTCTCGCGTCCGAAAAATAACCGTTCGCCCACCCACCCGTTCTATTCTTTATTTTGTACGGCATAATACATACACGGCTGTGCTCGCCTCCTTTCAGGTGAAAGTGTGGTTCCAGAATCGCAGGACGAAATACAAGCGAGTGAAGGAGGACGTGGAAGACGAATCGACGAAGGTCTCGCAACAGAAACCTCCGCCTCCGCCCTCCACCTCGCATCACATCGACAAGTGGCGGCAAGACACCCACCAGCCGACGGACGCACGCGGGGAGGAGGCGTAATGATGACGTCAGCGGCCGTGCGTCGGGCGTTGAAGAAACTTTGAACGTCACGAAATCTGCGACCGCGCGGTGACGAAACTAGATGAGTGAGGTGTCACCATGGTAGCGACACTATATGGGTGAGGTGTCGCGGTGCTAACGACACTAGATGAGTGAGATGTCACCATGGTAGCGACACTAGATGGGTGAG